GATAACTGAATCGCTGTGCTAATGTGGTATGGCAACTCGAACTGATGTACGTACGTACGAAGTTCCACGTTGTTACTGACTGACAGTTTACATATAGTATGTTTTCTATTAAACACTAGTGAGATGGTGGAGACGATTTGTAGCTCAGATGGATGATTTTGATAGAGCCTTGTTCTCTGAGCTGGATGGTTCAGTCGTGGAGCTTTCATCATTCTTCTAAACGACATAATCAGTATAAACTTCAGATTTGGATAATTACAAAGTAATATTTAAACCTATTGATACAATCTAGGTAATAATTGATAACAAGAATGTGTAAATAATCATTTGAAAACACTTTCTATTATACATTGCCATTAGAAAAGGGGAATAATAAAGAAGTTAGACACTAATATTGTTGGATGCCAGTCCAGTGGTGTAGAGGTAAAGCGTCCGTGCGCGACCCCGATGGGTCCTGGGTTCGATTCCAGAGGGTGGGATCGCGGATGCGCACTGGTGTGGAGTCCCATGCTAGGACGGAACGGCCGATCATTGCTTCCAGGTAGTCTAACTTTAATTAACTCATGAACTCAACCAGAAAAAATTAGATTGTATTTGGAAATAATTCTGAATCAACGTAGATAATGGTACAAATGTGGGTCAGCCCAAGTTGTCATACCATATTTGATGATGAAACTAAAAAGATGAGTAGCGAGCGAGTCATAATAATATAATTATCAATAGATGTGAGAATGATTAACCAACGGAGAATACAGTTCACGAAGGAACTGATGAAAACTACAATACAATATTAAAGCCTAAGAGTTAGAAGATACATAGTAGATAAGATTGTATCCTTTACGCCGATTCTTAGCCATGTAAACCAACATCTCATTGTAGTTCAATAATACGTGAACGATGCTTCGAAAACATTTATGATCATAAACTTTCAGATTAAGTATGTATTATGTAATAATGTGTGTTTCGTATCATTTTGTCCTACTTTCGAACTCTTTAGCTGTGCAATAACGAATGTAGAACATTCAATCAATAAAAAGCCTGGCGGTTAAATTATCAAACTTCCAGTCATTTCTGATATGTGGTATATGATCAAAGCCATTAATCTAACTAAATGTCGTCATCGTATTCTACATCTTCTTTCCAGTACTTTGGAAGATTCAAACTAAACTACACGCCACGATAATTTATTTACTTACGCCTGTTACTTCTAATGCAGCATAGGCCACAGACCAGCATTCTCCAACTCACTCTGTCATATGCCTTTCTTTCTAGTTCCATCCAATTCTTGTTCATTTTTTCATGTCTATCTCCATTTCCCGGCGTAATGTGTTCTTTGATCTTCCTCTCCTCCTTCGACCTTGAGGATTCCATGTGAGGGCTTGCCCTGTAACGCAGTTCGGTGCTTTCCTCAATGTGTGTCCTATCCACTCCCAGCACTTCTTCCTCCCCTGGGATCTGGTTTGTTCTCTCCCACAGTAGGTTGTTGCTAATAGTGTCTGGCCAACGAATCCGAAGTATTTGGCGTAGACAACTGTTAATAAACACCTGCATCTTCTGGATAATGGCTTTCGTAGCTTTCCAGGTTTCGGACCCATACAGTAGAACTGTCTTGACATTTGTATTGAAAATTTTGACTTTATTGTTGGTTGACAGACAGTTGTTTTGAGTTCCAGATGTTCTTCAGTTGTAAATATGCTGCTCTTGTTTTGCCGATCCGTGCTTTCACATCTGCATGAGATCCATCGTGTTCATCAATGATGCTGCGCAGATATGTAAAGGTTTATACATCTTCCAAATCTTCTCCGTCAACTGTGATTGGATTGGTGCATGCTGTGTTGTATCGGAGAATCTTGCTTTTCCCTCTATGTATATTGAGACCTACTGTTGCTGAGGCTGCTGCTACACAGGTCGTTTTCTGCTGCATTTGTTGTTGCGTTTACGATAGAAGAGCCAGATCATCTGCGAAGTCTAGATCATCCAAGTGCATACCAGATGTCCACTGTATCCCGTTGTTCCCTTCAGATGTTGACGTCTTCATGATCCAGTCGATCACCAGGAGAAAGAGCAAGGGTGAGAGTAAGCAACTTTGCCTGATACCAGTCTTTATTTCGAACGACTTTGTCAACTGTCCTCCATGAAAGACTTTGGAGTTTAATCCTTCGTAGGAATTCCGTATGATATTGACTATCTTCTGAGGCACGCCGTAGTGTTCAAGAAGCTTCCATAGGGTTGTTCTGCCCACGCTGTCAAATACTTTTTCGTAGTCAATGAAGTTGATGTAGGATGATGAATTCCATTCAATTGATTTGAAGATGCCACAGGTATTCGGAGTTGGACAACGCTTTAACCAGTAACACCTAATATGAAGCGCACCCACCAAGTAAAATCAAAAGACAGAAGTGAGGAGATCGAAGATATATTTAATAAGCTATCAATATATCGAGGATCGTTTGCACTAATCTGGCTAGCGATTGCGGCAGATGTTGAGCACGGCGTTCCCACACGTGATCTGGTGCGGATGCTTGGCCGAGCGCCTTCAACTAGATGAGTCCACTAAAACTGTGGTCAGCATCCAATGTCGAAAACTATTTGATTTTGGGGAATTATTTACCGCTACAGATTGTTCTACATTGATCAGTAGAGTCGCGATTTGATCTGTACACGATCTATCCTTACAGAATCCTGCCTGTCGGTCGCGAAGTTGGGCGTCTGATAATTTATTTTGGCTGATGTTTTAAAATGAGGTCAATCAGGGATGAACATTTAAATTATTAGTTTGCTTAGTGACGAAGTGATTCCTGGGAAACCTACATAGTCTATACGTTTAGCTACATATTTTCAAGATGAACTGGTTTCCCAAAGTCTTTCGGTTAGGGTTATAAATTATCTATCAAACTAATCAAATACTAACTAAAAATGAATATCTATATGGTATGTGATATATCTAGAGCTTAGATTCTTGATATACCGCGAACTACTTGAGCACTCGAACGATAGAACCCTCCCAAGTCGCAAATGGAAAGACAGAAGACGAGTGAGATAAAATATTATTCCAGTGTCAAATATGGTGCAAAACTTTCAGGTATTTGTAGTTTTTAATAAAAGCGAAATAACAATTACAGTCATCCAATCCTCATATAGTGGATTTTAGCATTTGTCTAATAGGAAAGCTACACGTCAAGATTCCGGAATGTTCTTCCAAAAGATTATTGAATGGGATGTCTTCGGCTCTTTCTAAGCTTCCTCGAGTTCACCGGTGGACTGTCCTTACAGTATGGTTTGCAAAACTTCAGGAAAATACGACTATTCTGTTTTTAAAATCTGGAATAACGAATACGTTTTAGAAAAGGCAAAGTATATTAATTATTGTGGTAATGTAAAGTGAGAGCCTGTTTTCATCGAGTTTATTTAAAAACAATGTTTTAATGTATCTTACACTTGTTGGAAGAACGTGCTGACAAAGACAGTCGTGGAGAAAATACAGTTTTTCTCGAGTGGAAGCTTGCCTTTTGGCGAAAGTCTCCCATTTTCGAACAACGAGCAGCGTACTACGCTCAATCTTGCAAACACTTTTTTTTTCAAAATTTAAAATCAGTGATGCATTTGACACATTCAGTATGTGGCTAACAGTGGATTCCAGGATGCCCATTTTTACCCATCCAGGATTCATCAACTGGAACCCAGTGTTAGTGTTCACATTGAGACTTGAACCTATTACCTCTGTAATTAAATTCTCAACGCGTTATCCACTGAGGTACTGAATTCAAACAGCCATTAACCTCTTCAAAGGGTCTGAAAATGTTTAAGATGAGTACATATCACTAGAGAATGATTTATTTTATTTAAAAACATAAACATTGGTACAAGAAGGCCCCGAACAGATATGCGCCACATAGACAATTCGATTTTTATGAGGGCTGGGATACTGCCCGGATGCCCAAACCGAAGCAGGTGGTTTACTTAGCGAAACACACCCGGAGCCTTCGACCTAAAGGTCTGATCCACAAGATAGTGGGGCAACGCCAGAAGATACAGTCACATGGTAAGCGGTGGCAAGCAACAGATTCATACGCCATTTGTTCCTTCAGGATCCTGGAGAACATGTGCACCATTGGTTTGGAATCAGGGTTTTCCAACTCCCCTAGGTGGACTTTCCGTATCCACCAACCCGGTTAAAGCCCCATCGGACATTCGATTTTCGTTCTCTCAATTTCGTAAACAACACCCGTGGTGTGGGAAGGCAGTGAGTGAGACTTCCCTGGAAGAGGCTATATACGCGTGGCCATGTGAGAGCATTTCGAGAGGGTGAGCGGACTCTCCCACTCTCGGCCGTACCAGGGCATTTGGGAGCTAATCAATTGCAATCGTGAAAATCGACAAAGGGAAATTATAAACCATTACCAATAAAATGGAAATGCTTAAAAATGATCAATCATTCGAGAATTTTTCAAATCTCAAAGGAATTTACTATATAATGATAGAGGGTTTATCATTTTATAAACTATATACCATTTCACTTAATATACGGAACACCTATGACGACTAATAGTATCTAACCAAATATGACCAGTTGTTTGTCTGTTCTTTTTTGAAATAATAAATGAAATTCATTTTTTTAGAGGCGTAATTTTATTTTGATATTCAAATTAATCCAATTAACTAATTATTTAAAGTATGAGAGTTTAAAAAAAAATATAAATTGAGGAGGAAAGCCACTTAGTAATAATAATAAACTTAATATTTATTTTACAAAATGATTTAAGCTACTCATAAGTAGTGTAAAGTAAAAACAAACAAATAAATACGTGGGAATGTTATATAACAACATGAACAGATGGTTATTATTACACAAAATGTTCACTGAAAATAGTTCTAGGGTAATGAATTCAGATCGTGAAGAGTTTTTTTTTGGTTTTAAAAAAAATCTATAGGGAATTAGGATAGGGGAATATGTTGGTAAAAACTATTTCCTATAAAATAACTTATAATTTAAATGTTTGTCAATCAACTCTTATCAATTTCATTAGTGTATTCATTGTTTTACCTTGAGGTCCAAGACCACCATGTAACCAAGCTGTACCATCATTACTACATACTGAAGAGACTGAATATGCTCTTGGTTCATCGATTGTACCAATTCTAAAAGGATAAAGATATAAATAGTGGTTTTGCATTAGTAAAAGTAGATCAAAAACGAATTATGGGTAGCAGTGATGATGTTTGTAAATACGATAAATGGAACCTTGAATTTATTTTTCTGACTAGAAATATTGAGTCAAAATTTATCGAATTGAGTTGAAAAGTTTACTTTCTTCGATGAGCGTCTTCTCTATGACCGTCTATCTGCGTTAACGCGGATGTATGAAATATTATTTATCCAACAGCTATTCTTGTATTTGACTTGTTGTCTTTTTTCGTTATACATTAAAGCAAATTAAGTTGATGAATATGTACGAGGTTAAGGTCGTGTGTGACCGACTTCAAGCAGTTGTTCCTTGGGCACTGCGGTCACGCTCTCAAGTCACTATGACCACCCTCTAACCCAATTTCCTTTTCAGGTACCTCCAGAAGAACCCTTCCATGCTGGGTGCAACCGGGAAGTGAAAACTGCCCTCATACCTCTAACAGCACTCAAGATCACTGTCACTGTCTTCGACACAATAAAGAGAAACTATTATATTCACGTTGCTTTATTCAACATACGTGAAACAGTTGTGTTTCAACTACTTAGTTAGTATTTTAAAGTCCAAATCGTTGCTAAATGTAATTTCGATAGTGATATAAAGGAAAAGATTTGTAGATCAGAAGGATGATTTTGACGATTAGTCGTATATTAAGGTTCGTGACAGTTAGTGTTTCTTAGTACACTGATAATGCTGACATTCAAAAACTTTTCAAAATAGTTAATGAATGAACAACTTTAAATTTATAAGGCTTTGATGAAACTGTCGCCAGTGAAGGATTTCACACACGCATGTCTTCTTTCGTTGAATCAGTCTTCTTCGATCTTATTATTACATAAGTTTTTCTTGTAACATGATATCTCGAAGTGCCTGGGGCTAAGAGGGTAATGGACATCAAAACTAGGATTTATCGCTGTAGTTAGCTCAAGATGAATGATTTTTATCTTTATATTTCGTCTATTCCTTTGGAACTATACCTCTTATAATCAGTTTTGCCTCAATTTCTGTGGAGTTGTGATTCAGTGGTTAAGGCTATTAGGTCACTGGGATCAAAACCCACTCAATCTACTTCGGTTAACGCAACTGGTTAGTATCACTAGCTCTTACACCTAAACTGTGGTTCGAAACCAAGTATATGACCATGTAACTGGTAATGAGTAATGATAATAATAATGACAATAATAACCGTTGGTATTATTCTGGCTCGCTTACAATTCATTTTGTTAATTCCCTTTCTAATAGCGTTTTATGCTAGACCCCATGTTGACGTTCACAATCTAATAATTATTGAATAAGGTGACATTTTGAAAAAAAAAAAAAGGTTATGTTTACGCCTATTGATTAATAAAAACTTTACAAATACTAACTGCTTGTACTAAAGTGTTAAGAAAAAACCCAACATATTGAAACCTACTCGTAAATTGTCGGTTTAACACAACTATTGTTTTCAGTATACTTTAAAAGATATGCTGAATTAAGCGGACCATGTCTTAATGCATTGAAACCTTCACCTGTTCCAATAAATAAACCACCAATACCTGGTATTATACAATGACCACGCCAACCACTGAAATAAACAAGTGTTTAAAAACATAAATAATAATAATAATAATAATAATAATGAGAGAAGTTCAGTTAAAAAAAATACAACCAGAAACAATTCTTTCAGTTAATGAAGTTACTCGCACTTTTTATGAATAAAGCAAAAGAAAGTTACAGCAGAATTTCTACTGGCCTCAACTCTGAGCCATATATGATAACGTTCCAAGCCACTGTGTTGCACCATCTCTAGAACCCCAACCAGAGAGTCGTGAAAGACAAACAGAAGCCAGTCTTGTACAGCTCTTCTTCATACCACGACACCAAGTCATACACTGACCATCTCTCCGCTTTTTCCAACCGGTCCCAGAGTTGGCAAACAGTGCACGACGTGCGATTCGCTGGGACGACATTCGTAGGACAAGTCCAAGCCACCGAAGTCAATGTTTCAAGATGGTGATACCAATTGAATTATCATTGTTGTGTCTGAACACACGATGCCGAACATCCTCTGTGCTAACATTGTGTAGCAACCGGATGTCACTGATCTTTTGCAGACAACACAAGAAGTCGTCTAACATCAACTCGGAAGCCAGGCCTTACAAACATAGAGGAAAACTGCTCTCACTGGGGCGTTATAGATCCGACATTTTACATCCAGATTAACATCATGAAGGTGCTAGAGATGACCCAGATTGACATAAGTCGCTCTGGCTCTCACTATACGTGAATTGATCTCATCGGTCACGCCACCAGCAGTACTTAAGCAGCTATCTAGATACATGAACTTCTAGAATACTTCTAACTCGTCACTACCAAGTTTGAGTGCAGGTACAGGGTCCTGTCAGCCTTTTAAAGCACTTAGTACTTAGAAAGTGCAAAGCAGATGCCATACCTATAAACACTGATTGCCAACCGGTTAGATGCGGATTGCAAGACTTGGATATCATCTCACAGTAAGACAATACCGTCCGTATACTCAATGTCAAAAAGTCTTTCTCCAGGTAACACATCCACGCTATTTATACTTACTTACTTACTTACTTACTTTTGATAGGATGGTGAAAGTTGAGTTAGATCCGACTTTTGTTTTTGTTCAATATTTTTAATGAAACTTGTTACAACTGTACATGATGTCAATGGATAGTCAAGGCGACCAGGCCAATTGCATGGTTCTTTCTTTTTTTTATTATGAATTATTTCCCATTTTAATAAATCGATCGAATTACTTTTACAACCACCAATAGTAACTAATGTACATGGTGTGATCGGTGTCGAAGTATGATAACTTCTTGACGATACTGTTAAACTGGAATCGGCTTCGCAGTAAACGTATTTCATCCGTTGTTGAGATGAATCCATATCAATCAAATTACCTGTTAATAATAATTTATAAAATATTCATCACAAAAATGGTTAAAACTATATTGCGTAATGATAAGCCGATAGATAATTCAATGAGCTGAAATAGAACCTGATTGCATCAATAATAAAGGAGGTTCAAATTATCCCGGTATTGATATTCAAAACTGAATTTATCAGTCTTTGTTAGCATATACGCATCCTGTAAGAATTGCCTTGATATAGCTATTCTTAAGTCTTCTTTTACTTAGAACAAGTGGATTGTGATTAACAGTGAAATTCAGGAAGTGTGTTTCGTCCTATTTGAAATTTGTCAGCTGTATTTACCTATACCTCAGTTTTGATGTTTACATTAGGACTCAAACCTAGTTAACTCTATCATCTGGGAGGAAAGGAGATTCGTAGGATAACCAAGTCTGTGGATGAGCTTCAATCGCTAGATAATGTTTTATAAATATTCTGCTTTTTATTTTGTAGATTTTCTCAACTACATCACAATATCTCCATCTATGTTGATGCAAAATGATGGAAAGAAAAATAGAGTAGTTAATTGATAATTAGATAAGTGTAACTAATTGGTATTAAGATGAGTCATCAGCTCAAAGGTCACCTCCTATTTTACTCTAGTTGTATTAACTATTCTTACCTTTCTCTCTTCATATAATCTTCCCTTAATAGAAATTGTTATTAACTGGAGAAGACACTGATAACAAATGTTGAAAAGTAGTTAACCTACCATATAGTAAGTAAATATTCCCTGCCTTTCTTTGGCTTCGTAGAGAACCTTCTCGGCCGATAATAATAGCTGAAAACGTATACTCATCATCTAGTGAACGAATTATTTGGGCAGAATGAGCTGATAACCCAGCTCCCTGAGGAAACCCAGTAAGCAGTGGTTCATTCAAGGCAGGCGGTAGCCAAGTATTCGATTGAGTATCATATGTATGTATACCTGGTATTCTGATACGTCCATTCCATCCCCCTTTATTAAAATATGCATCACCATGAAGGTTAAATAAAAATTTCAACAATTAAATAAGACATGTCTTGTGTATGTATCAGGATCTAAGTATGTTGCACAATACATTCAAGTTTTGATGTTAAATGACTGGAAGAAACTGGCGGAAAGCATCAGGCCTAGGTTTCATGTTAGTTGACACTTACCTGCGGAACAAATCCTTGATTTTGAGGGAACTGTTGCCCACTGAGGGTTCGAACCCGCAACATTGACTGTAACACTAGTTGACATCAGTTCGAATAGCACAGAAAGTGTCGGCCCCCTTAAAACGATGAGTTCATCTTGATGACAGCCGTAGCTTAGCAACAAAATTGAGGTGCATGGTTTCTTTGATTATGAAGCCACAAAACATACTTTAGATGTTAAATTACCTCAATTGGTGGAAAAATTGAAACGTGATCAACAGAACTCTACTAGCAATAAGAACAAGATAACCACTGGGCATGTCGAGATAGATCCAACCCACTAACCTTGGGGGATAAGGTTGACCAGTTACATGATGAGACCTACTCTACAAGACAAATAACAGGATTAGTAAGATACGACTGGTAACAAGCCGTGATCAGAATGGACTGATTTTACACTCGTGGGATAATTCTATAAAGCCCACTCCCATTTTCGGAAAGCTTTGATGCCATTCAGAATGTCAATTGAAGCTCAGTAACTGAGCCTTAGAGTTCTAAGAACGCGAAACCGCCAATAATTATATCGTGTTTTGACATGTGACCGAGTTTAATTTAAGTGTTATAAATAAAGAATGACGAAATTAGGGAATTCGTCTCCTAAGTGAGCAACTACGATCAGTCGACTAGAAAAAAACAAAAACGATTGGCCGTATGATAAACCTACCTGCAGTTTTAGTTAGTCTCTAGTTGAGAGAGAATAGGCTATGAAATGGAGAAAAGCGTATTTTGGCAAGTACCTACTATTCTTGACCCGACAATCCACTATAGATACCCCTAGGGACTTCCGAGATGAGAATTACACAACTACAATGTTACTACTTAACATACTTTCATATCAACAGTCATTAAATGTGATTGATACACAAACTTACCAATAAAAACAAGATATCTATCCTTGAAAACTAGACACGTGTGTTGACTAAGAAATGGTGAGTCTGAAGATGTTATTTCCATCCATTGGCCTATTGTAGGATAAAGCTGTATCTTGTAAAAACAGTTGCTCGGCGTTTTACATGATCCATCACTAGAAGTTATTCCACCGTGCAGATAGAAATCTCCACTTACAATGGCACCTGGAATATTTTGTTCAGATCATACAAACAATAGCTTATACCAGCATGATTTTGCAGCGCAGGACCAATGGTGCCATTTGTTGCATTAACCCACTGAAGAGAACATCGCTTTGTCATTTACTAAAGTTTAATATTATGTAACATATGTGAAGTGAACATTTTTAGCAATTTAGACATAATCCTTTTTTATTAGTATATACTTGTAAATTTAATGGCATGAAAAGCGAATTGAATGTAACACAATCAAAAATCTCATCCTACCCTTCAAGTTTAAGAGCTAACTGAATGAAATGTGAACAGGTGAAGCCAAAATGATAACAGTACAATTTCGATAGTTTAGTCAAAATTCAATTAGGCACTAATATGATTATGTCGAAATCTAAACTGCGCAGTCTAGATTGAGAGATGGATTTATAAGAAATTATCAGTTAAGCAGCAATGACGAAGATGACAACAATTCAGTTGTGGTCACAGAAGTAGGTACAACGGTAGCTACAGAGCAGTGTAACAATATTGTCTCAGAAACAGTCACTGCTTCATTTAGTTATATCCAGTGTTCTGTCAGTAAAGCCGATGGTAGTATAGCTTTAATAATCAACAAGTTATAGGTGGTGTTATTTCAAAAATGTCTCCACCCAGTCATCTTTCAATGAACGAACAGGTTGACAGAGTTGTCATCGAGATGATGAAAGGTGTTGATATAAACGTGAAGAAGGCTGACGAAATTCTGGACCTCTTTCGCGTGCGCATTACTGAACTCCCAACATCCGTCCGAAGTGTTCTACGTCGATGAAACGACGTGGAGCCTAAAATTCTGGGTACGGTGATTTACTACCATTGGGAATTGAAATCAAGACTGCTAAGGATTTCCGAAACTTGGCTACATAAAATCCGTTATACAGAAATGAAGCTGCAGTTGAACCACAATGACCTAAGCTTGTTTAAAAGCTCTAACCAACAGCTGTGGCCGATACTAGGTCGCATGACCGGTCCATTAGTTAGTAACGTATTTATATTTGGGATATATGGTTGTGAAGGGAAACCAACCTATTTCAACGACATGTCAGCAGCACTTATAACTGAGTTGTAAAAGTTGCTGACAGTAGGTATTAGTGTAGATAATTATCAGGTACATTTAACAGTTAAATTGGTTGCTGTTATTTGTGACACTCCAGCTCGCTGTAACGTTCGGTATGTTGTTGGACACAACGGTACCGCTGGCTGTGACAAATGTCATGTTTTAGGGATATGAATGGGTGGTCGAATGACTTTCCCCAATGGTGAACACGAATTGAGAAATGATGTCACTTTTCGTAGTAGGTCCCAATCTATCCATCATCGTGGTGGAAGCTCATTTGAAACTCTGCCATTGGATATGATAAAATGTTCCCCCTCTGAACCCATGCATATGATTTACTTAGGTATCACTAAAAAACTAATTTCATTATGGAAGGACCTAGCTATTAAGCGACTTAATAGGATGGATCAATCGATTATCGCATCCATAAATAAGGCACTCAACTTATGTAGACAGCACACTACATGCGACTTTCAACGCAAATGTCGTTCACTACATGAAGTTTTTGTATGGAAAGCAACTGCATGTCGGTTGTTCTTACTATACTTAGGACCAGTAGTTCTTCATAATAGGTTACCACTGTCGACGTACCGAGACTCTCAGTCGCTCTCTTTGTCAATATATTTATTATCGCACCCTAAGTTGCACACCACTTTCGCAGACAGTGTTCGCGTTAACATTAACAACTTCTTATTAGGCAACGAAAAGTGTTACGGTAGCGACCACTTCATCTACAATGTGCATATTTTAAAGCACATTGCAGAGGACGTTATAGAACATGGCAGTTTAGAGTCGTTCTCTGCCTTTCCTTTTGAATCATACATGAGGAAAATTAGGCGTTCAGTACACTGCGGCTAAACAAGCCACACAGCGATATGCCGAAGAAGTTTACTTTCACAGTATAGTTAATAACGATACGGCTGACAATCTCAATGAGCCTGAGTTAACTTATGATTCTTCAAAGCAAGTCATCACTTACAGATACTCAGAGCTATCTACCACCAGGCCGGACAATGTTGTGATCGTCAATGGTCGACCAGGTTTCGTCACATAAATAGCTGATGGAGGCCGACTAAGGTTTCGAGTATTCCATGACCCTGTAGATTTATATACGGACCCTTTTCCCTCCGGTAGTATCGGTATGTTTAAGTGTTCTACGTTAAGCCACGAGTGTCACTGGCTTCAGATCATCACCTGGTTGTGGCCAAATTGAAACTGAAGCTAAAGAAGAACTGGACAACTGGACAAACAGCTCTGCAAAGGTTCAATACAGCCTTCCTTCGAAATACCGACAAACTCAATGAATTCAAGGTAGCTCTCAACAACAGGTTCCAAGCCTTACAGGATCTACTGAACGAAGAAGAAACTACTATGGAGGATAGCTGGAAAGGCATCAAAGAAACATTAACTTCAACGTGTGAAGAGGTTCTGGGCCCCAAGAAGCATCATCACAAGGAATGGATCTCTATAGAAACACTGGACAGGATCAAAGAAAGGAAGAACAAGAAGACAGCAATTAACAACAGTCGAACACTAGCAGAGAAAGTCCAAGCACAAGCAGAGTACATAGAAGCAAACAAGAAAGTGAAGAAGAGCATTAGAGCTGACAAGCAAAAATACGTGGAAGAACTAGCAACGACGGCGGAAAAAGCTGCAAGAGAAGGAAATATGAGACAGCTTTACGATACGACGAAGAAGCTAGCAGGGAAATACAGTAAGCCAGAGAGACCAGTCAAAGACAAAGAAGGAAGACCAATCACTGAGATTCAACAACAGCGCAACAGATGGGCAGAGTACTTCGAGGAACTCCTGAACAGGCCGGCTCCAATGAATCCACCGGACATCGAAGCAGCACACACAGATCTTCCTATAGATGTCAATCCACCAACGACCGAAGAAATCAGAATGGCCGTCAGACAAATCAAGAGCGGGAAAGCAGCAGGACCCGACAATATACCAGCTGAAGCACTGAAGTCAGACATCGAAGTAACTACGAACATGCTTCATCTTCTATTCAAGAAGATTTGGGAGGAGGAACAAGTGCCGATGGATTGGAAAGAAGGACACCTCATCAAGATTCCAAAGAAAGGAGATCTGAGCAAGTGTGAAAACTACAGAGGCATTACACTACTGTCAATACCAGGTAAAGTCTACAACAGAGTGTTATTGAACAGGATGAAAGACGCAGTAGAAGCTCAACTTCGAGATCAGCAAGCCGGATTCCGTAAGGACCGGTCGTGCACAGACCAGATTGCGACACTACGGATCATCGTCGAACAATCAATTGAGTGGAACTCGTCACTCTACATCAACTTCATTGATTCTGAGAAGGCATTTGACAGTGTAGATAGGAGAACGTTATGGAAACTTCTTCGACACTACGGAGTTCCTGAGAAGATTGTCAACATTATCCGGAACTCATACGATGGACTACAGTGCAAAGTAGTGCATGGAGGACAGCTGACTGACGCATTCCAAGTAAGGACCGGAGTAAGACAAGGCTGTCTACTCTCTCCCTTCCTGTTTCTTCTGGTGGTCGACTGGATTATGAAGACCTCGACATCTGAGGGAAACCACGGCATACGATGGACAGCTCAGAACCACTTAGACGACTTGGACTTCGCAGATGACCTAGCCCTCCTATCACATACACACGAACAAATGCACACAAAGACAGCCAGCATAGCAGCAGTCTCTGCATCAGTAGGCCTCAACATACATAAAGGGAAAACCAAGGTCCTCAAACACAACACGGAGAACAGCAATCCAATCACTCTTGATGGCGAAACTCTGGAAGATGTGGAATCCTTCACATACCTGGGAAGCATCGTCGATAAACAAGGAGGTTCAGATGCAGACGTCAAGGCGAGGATTGGCAAAGCTAGAGCGGCATTCCTTCAACTGAAGAACATATGGAACTCAAAACAACTTTCAACCAATATCAAAGTCAGAATCTTCAATACGAACGTCAAGGCAGTTCTACTGTACGGAGCTGAAACTTGGAGAACTACAACAACCACCATCAAGAAGGTACAGGTATTTATTAATAGCTGTCTACGCATGATACTCAACATCCATTGGCCGGATACCATCAGCAACAGCCTTTTGTGGGAGAGAACCAACCAGCTTCCAGCTGAAGAGGAAATTAGGAAAAGACGATGGAAATGGATAGGACATACATTGAGGAAAGCATCAAACTGCATTACGAGACAAGCGCTAACTTGGAATCCTGAAGGGAAGCGGAAAAGAGGAAGGCCAAAGAACACATTACGTCGGGAAATAGAAGCAGATATGAAAAGGATGAATAAGAACTGGAAAGAGCTGGAAAGGATTGCCCAGGACAGGGTTGGATGGAGAATGTTGGTGAGCGGCCTATGCTCCTTCACGAGGAGTAACAGATGTAAGTAAGTATAAGTAATTAAGTAAGTAAGTCACTGGTTTAATATAACAGACATACTTTGTAAGTGTATTTGTATGCGAACACAAAATTATGAGGTTATTATCCCCCTTTTGCATACATTCAAATAAGAAATGTGACATCATTTCTCAATGGCTGTCGCAAATATAGTACTACAGACAGTAAGTGTCTGTTGGTTAGTGCTTCGGCCTCGTTCATCCGGAAGTTTTAATGAATCTTCATGAATGTAATAAATTTTTAACGCCTCGGCATTGATTCACAGCATCAATCCGGACAATACATATTGGTTAATGACAAGGAGAAGAAGCAAGTTCTTTGCATTCCTAAGAAATGGCTCCTGAACAACGAGCATTACATTTATCGGAATGATGTTACGGAGAAGGATATTATTGATGGTGTCGATTGTGATAGCCACTTCACTTTGAGAAAATGCACGATACTGCATAGTTGTGGTAAGTTGTAATTACTTTTAATTCATTGTTTTTAGAGGACTACCATGTAGCCCAGGGAATGAAGATGTGTTTAACCTCAATACTCGGTTACATTAACAAAGGTACAACAAATGATGAAACTCTGTCGTGTGAAGCAGAAAAGCCAAAGAGGTAATTTGTTCAGCTTACTAAATCACTTTAGTGTTAGGGCTGCGAAACGTAAACTTTGTGACTATCTATGCACCTCTGAAGAACTAGAGGTTGCTGAGGTTGAAGCTGGATTTTCCCCGGTGGAATTTCCAGTTGTCAACATTTTGACCGAAAGGTTCTCCCCCATAGCCAAGTATGTACCTATTTAAATCTATACTCATAAAGTAGTTCATCCAAAACAGAGCTTTCATCACCGCCCATTCCATGTACATCGACGGCAGTTGATAAATCGTAAGTTGCATTTACTGTTTTCCTTAAAACCAAAGGTTGGGCGACGACATCCCTAAAATGTTCAGAACGATGCTGAAGGCGATAGGTGAACTATCTAGGAAGATGGATAAACTGATAACCTACATCGAACGCTTACCCATGGGTGTCACTGACAGGCGTACGGAGCCCTTAGACACGGCAGCTATAGCATTCCCATTAAGAACGCATGAGGACTTGCGTTCTTTAGAAGCTGCGTTAGATAACGTCCAGTTCCGGGATTACTTCGTAAGTTGTTACAGGTATTTGAACAAACTGTAGGTGGGAAGATTAAACGTGTTCCTCTGTGACGATCCTCGGAAATCAGCGAAAGCTTGTCTGAGTTACCTGCTTTGGCCGGAACTGGCAGACCACTCACTACACTTTGCACGGAACTAAAAAAAAATTGGGTATCAGTAAATACAAATTTTACTCAACCGTTCAAAGTAAGTACACACTATTGCATTAACACATTCATAGGTGTTCTGTGTTCCCATTTCCGAAGTGTGACCTGTACGGAAAAGGATTTGGTACACGCCATGGGTACAGCAAGCCAGGCTTTCTTGCATGACGCAAGAGATAAAGTTAATAAACGCGGATGGCGATCCAAAGAAAAGGTTAGCCGAAGCAATAATGTATATTGCAGTTCGATTATTACTTTGTGATCAATGTTTATAGTGATAAAACTGTTGTCATATTCCTCTTGTTTTCCCCAAGCTCCCAATTTTGGGGAAAGTTTTACCTATTTTGGCGATATTTTGGGGAAGCCGCCATTATAAACTTTGGGGAAATGGCACAAAAACCCCAAAATTTCCCCAACCTTTGGGGATTTACCCAAAATTTCCACAGACCTTGGGGATTTCTTCCCCTAAATTTCCACAAAATTATGGGTATTTCCCCGAAATTTCCCAAAATTTTTGGGTTTTTCCCTAAATTTACACAAAATTTTGTGTTTTTGCCCTAAATTTCCCCAAACTTTTGGGTTTTTCCGCTAAATTTCCACAATATTATGGGTATTTCCCCAAACTTTGGGGTACTTCTACCTAACCGTTTTAACGCAAAACCTATACCGAAATCTCCAGACATCACGGAAAACCTTGCGAGAATACCTACGTACATTTCTTACTGTGATATTAGATTAATTTTAGCCAACTACGTCTTGCCAAATAAACTTAACGTCAATGCATTTATCGGTTTTATTAAAACACCAGTTATTGAAATATTTCAATATTTATTATAGTGAATAAAACATCACAGATTATTTAATAATACGACGTTTATCATTGTTCCATTTCTGTTACACGTTAGGCAGAAGTTGAACTATGGTTTGTTAGGTTCTAAAAAAAATGAAAAAAGACATTTTAGTTTACAATCACATATGAACAAATGTAAAACACAGATGACGTAATTTAAAGTTAGACAATGCTTTCAGTAATCCGAACAAATAACTTACAGTTACGTCAGATAAAGCCTGCGAAGCCAGCTGAAAACAATAGGAATATGACAAAAGTGTTATCACTATAAACATTGATCACAAAGTAATAATCGAACTGCAATATACATTATTGCTTTGGCTAACCTTTTCTTTGGATTGCCATCCGCGTTTATTAACTTTATCTCTTGCGTCATGCAAGAAAGCCTGGCTTGCTGTACCCATGGCGTGTATCAAATCCTTTTCCGTACAGGTCGCACTTCGAAAATGGGAACACAGAACACCTATCAATTTGTCAATGCAATAGTGTGTACTTACTTTGAACGGTTGAGTAAAATTTGTATTTACTGATACCCAATTTTTTTTTAGTTCCGTGCAAAGTGTAGTTGTCTGCCAGCTGATCAGCTGGCTTCACAGGCTTTATCTGACGTAACTGTAAGTTATTTGTTCGGATTACTGAAAGCATTGTCTAACTTTAAATTACGTCATCTGTGTTTTACATTTGTTCATATGTGATTGTAAACTAAAATGTCTTTTTTCATTTTTTTTAGAACCTAACAAACCATAGTTCAACTTCTGCCTAACGTGTAACAGAAATGGAACAATGATAAACGTCGTATTATTAAATAATCTGTGATGTTTTATTCACTATAATAAATATTGAAATATTTCAATAACTGGTGTTTTAATAAAACCGATAAATGCATTGACGTTAAGTTTATTTGGCAAGACGTAGTTGGCTAAAATTAATCTAATATCACAGTAAGAAATGTACGTAGGTATTCTCGCAAGGTTTTCCGTGATGTCTGGAGATTTCGGTATAGGTTTTGCGTTAAAACGGTTAGGTAGAAGTACCCCAAAGTTTGGGGAAATACCCATAATATTGTGGAAATTTAGGGGAAAAACCCAAAAGTTTGGGGAAATTTAGGGGAAAAACACAAAATGTTGTGTAAATTTAGGGAAAAACCCAAAAGTTTTGGGAAATTTCGGGGAAATACCCATAATTTTGTGGAAATTTAGGGGAAAAACCCAAAAGTTTGGGGAAATTTAGGGGAAAAACACAAAATGTTGTGTAAATTTAGGGAAAAACCCAAAAGTTTTGGGAAATTTCGGGGAAATACCCATAATTTTGTGTAAATTTAGGGGAAGAAATCCCCAAGGTCTGTGGAAATTTTGGGTAAATCCCCAAAGGTTGGGGAAATTTTGGGGTTTTTGTGCCATTTCCCCAAAGTTTATAATGCCGGCTTCCCCAAAATATCGCCAAAATAGGTAAAATTTTCCCCAAAATTGGAAGCTTGGGTTTGGGGTCATAGCTGGTGTCATTTCTAGATGAAATTAACAGCCTCATCTGTGAATGTGGGATTTTCAATCTGTAAAACCCAAGCTCCCAATTCTGGGGAAATTTTGGGGAGCTTTGGGGATATTTTGGGGAAATCCCCAAAGTTAAACAGCCTTCCCCAAAGTTTGGGGAAATTTTGGGGAAATCCACAATTATTGGGGAAATACCCATAATTTTGTGGAAATTTAGGGGAAGAAATCCCCAAGGTCTGGGGAAATTTTGGGTAAATCCCCAAAGGTTGGGGAAATTTTGGGGTTTTTGTGCCATTTCCCCAAAATTTCCCCAAAGTTTATAATGGCGGCTTCCCCAAAATATCCCCAAAATAGGTAAAATTTTCCCCAAAATTGGGAGCTTGGGAATTTAAACCGATTTTTTAGCTGCTTTAACAAAAGTGAAAATATCATATGATTTTTTACGGATAAGAGCAAAGAGAAATATCCACTCGAAATAAAAGAAAAATTTGTCTTTGCTATTTACATTTTACTGACTAGCCGACAGTATCTATCAGATACAACGCAATCATCACCTTTTATTTAACAAACAACACTGGGAATAAACTCAACTGCGTCTTGCAATTTCAGCAAACGTAGCAACCAATCAGAATAAAGCGCTTCAAATGGTTCAAATGGTTGTGGACGGAATAGAAGAAGCTTTCGCTTAACAGGCTTCCGTGTCTAGTAGCAGGGGATCACCGATACCTCTAGGCAAGAACCTAGGTATATTAACGATAAAAGAGAAAAAAAATGAATTGGTAAATCATAGTAAGATACTATCCTTAGTCCTTAAGAATAGATCGAGTCGCCTCTTAAAGGACTCCTGGGAAGTTGCTTGGACTAGCTCAGCTGGCAGCGAATTCCAGCATTTGACAACCCTTAAGGAGTAGAAGTTGTGTCTGCAGTCCTTTCTACTTTGTTGTATCTCTAATTTCTGGGTGTTACCCCTTAGGTTAGTGTTGAGACTAAGCTTAAGTAGGTGTTTAAGAGGATGTCCAGGTGTGTTAAGGATACTGTAAGCCATTAGAAGGTCACCTCTAAGACGCCTATACTCTAATGGGTGAAGGCCGAGTGATTGGAGGCGCTCATCGTAAAGTTTAAATTTGAGTCCCCGAACTGATTTCGTGGCTCGCCGTTGGATACGCTCCAGAGTGTCCTTATACTTTCGGAGTGTAGGAGGGAATACTGTGTTTCCGTACTCTAAACGGGGACGAATGAAACTATTGAAGATTATGTGGAAATTTCTCCCGTCAAACTGACCAAAAATGCGCTTCAATGTAACCAGTCCAAGGTCTGCTCGAATGGCATTTCTGTCACGGTTGGCGTAAGACTTTAAGTCGTAGGGTACCAGAACTCCTGAATCTTTTTCAACTCGGGATACTACTAGAGAGGAGTTTCCTAAGTTGTAACTGTAATCTGCGACGTGTCGCAGATGGACTACTTTACACTTTGAAGTGTTAGAGGTAAGTCCGTTGTCGTCTGCCCAACTTTGAAGTCGAGTCAGATCCTCCTGAAGTGCCTGTATGTCCTCTTGGTTGCGTATCTCTCTCCAGAGTTCCACGTCATCGGCAAAGAGCAATATGTCAGACGTTACCTGTTGAGGAAGATCATTTATGTAAATCAGGAAGAGGAGAGGTCCTAGTACTGAGCCCTGGGGGACCCCACTAGGACATTCCATAGCCTGTGAGAAATTGAAGTTTACCCTGACCTTAAAATGTCGATTTGTCAGATATGAACTGAGCCAGTCAATTAAAGATGGTTTGATACCCAATTGTTTGAGCTTGTTAATAAGACATGTGGTTAACCCTATCAGAAGCTTTAGAGAAATCAAGGTAAATGATGTCTACCTTCCCCTTGCGATCAACGATGCTTGTCCATCTGTCCACCGCGGTCAGCAGGTTCGTCATACAGGAGTAACCCTTCCTGAAACCATGCTGTTGGGGTGAGAAGAAATTTAAGGACAGCAGATAGTCGTGCATACCATCGTATACCAGGGACTCCATGATCCTTGAGGGTAAAGAGAGGGGAGCCACCGGTCGGTAACTTGAAGGTTCGCTGCGTCGACCTCCTTTGAAGATTGGTGTGATATGAGCCAGCTTCCAAATATCCGGTAGTTTGCCTCGACTTAGCGAGTGTGAGAACAACACGCTAAGCGGTGTTGCCAGGATTGAAGCTGCCTCCCTCAGCATAGCAGAGTGGACCATATCTGGACCAGGAGAAGTGTCTGTTCTTAAGTGTTGTGGTTTACGGAACACCAAGTCAGAGCTCGGTTTCACTACGTAAAGTCCTGTGCAGTTGCAGATGAAGCCGTCATCGGTATAGTTTATGTGGGTCGGTTGAAATGTCTGGGAGTATCGCTCATCCAGAAGGTTAGCGGCGCCACCGTCATTATCGGTCGGGCCGTTAGGACCTAGCAGTTGAGAAACTCCAGTTTTGGCCTGACGGAGAGAGGCTGCGTAACGGAATAAGCTTTTCGGATTGGAAATAAATTTATCCATAAGCTCTAACTGGTACTGAAGCCTGTCTTCTCTTATAGCCTTCGTACATATGTTCCTTATATGTTTGTATTGCCTGTACTGGCCGTTGTTGCTGGTTCGTTTGTATTCTGCCCAATAGTGCCTTTTACGGCTTAGCAGACGAAGAGTGTGGTTTTTGATGATTGTAGGTTGCATGTGGCCTTTGGAGACCGTTTGACGGACTGACTGCTTTGTAGCACATAAGAGCGTGTGTAATAGAAAGTTACAATGAGCATCCACATCAATTTGAGGGTGAACAACCCAATGCACCTGTTGTAGATAGTCCTGTAGAGCTGACACATTCAACCGTTTGGAATTCCAGCGCCTGTTGTTGTTGGGATATCTTAGCTCAGTTTTACTGACAAAAATGAAATCTATAAAGGCGTGATCGCTTTTCCCCAGGGGAGCCAGAATTGAGAGGTTGTCGACTAGGAATTCTTTATTTGTACAAACACAGTCTAAGCGCGACGGTGTCTGACTGTTCCTACAACGAGTAGCCAACTTCACATTTTCGTGTAGTCCCAACTCCTCAATGAGGTTGAAGAACCGAGCTTCAATTGAATGTTCTCTTCCAGTATACGTATGTTCAGCGAAGTTGACTCTAGAGAGATTGAAGTCCCCTAGAATCAGGATATGAGTGAAGCCGAGACTCGTAGAGCGGTATAGTCCTTCTAGCATGCGACTGTCATAATCGATGTCGGCAGTGGGCTTCCTATATATGACTCCGACTAGGCACCTCGAAGTAGTGGACAATCTCATAGAGCACCATATGGATTCCTCAAGATTGTCAAACTCATGGTTGTGAACTTGGTGTACCTCCAAGCCAGATCGTATGTATAGGGCTACTCCACCCCCAATTCCTGTTTTTCTGTAATTGCGAAACAGAGACATCCCAGGTATTGCTAGCTCCTGGTCCGAATACTGAGGAGATATCCAAGTTTCGGATATTCCTATCAGATGAACCTTATTAGCGTTGCTAAGTTCACTTAGTTCATCCATTTTATTTGGTAGACTCGTGGCGTTCATGTATAAGCAGTTAATGCTTTCAATTTGAAACGCATGAGCTTCTTCCTGTTTGTCTGTATGAGCCTTACGTGAGTGGACAGGTAACCCACCTATACAAGTTTCGTCGAATTGGTGGGCCCCGTCCTTTACACGTTTGTTTTATCTTGAAGACAGTCTACAAGTGGAATGGTCAGCTCCAGTGGAATGGTTCTGCTGTGTTGTGCCTCCGATTTCTGTGTGTTGCCCCTAAGGCTTGTGTTGGAACTAAGCTTAAGTAGGTTTTAAGAGGATGTCCAGAATTCCTTAGGATGTTGTACGCCGTTAGAAGGTCACCTCTAAGACACCTGTATTCTAACGGGGAAAGGTCCACTGATTGGAGGCTCTCTTCATAAGGCTTTAATTTGAGTCCGCGAACAGATTCCGTGGCTCACCATTGAACACGTTTCTGAGTGCTTTTATCCTTTTGGTGTGAGGGAGGAAGTACTGTGAGGACGAATTAATCTGTTGAAGATTATGTGGAAAGTTCTCCCGTCGAAGTAGCCGAAAACGCGCATCAACGTTACCAATGCAAGATTTTCTCGGAAAGCATTTTCGTCGTAGTTAGCGTGTCGGTTTATCCTCTTCATTACGTACTTCCCTCCAGAGTTTCACATCACCAGCGAAAATTAATAAATCTGACGATACCTGCTCTGGAAGATCATTTGTATAGATCAAAAAAAGGAGAGATCCTAGTACTGGTCCCTGGAGACCCCAGCCGGGTGGAATTATCATTTTCGCCACCTTTGTAAGCAGTGGTCAACTTTCTTCGTTCCGTTTGTGGGCTGGCTTTTTCTTGTCGCTATAAAACCTAATACGTTTTCGCGTGCTGAAATTCCGAAATTTATGTGATACTCTAAGTTTCGGTACCACTTTTTTGAGTAAGTTTCGTTTTCTCGGTTTTCGCTACTGCTGTTCAGGTCAGTGTATTCATTTTTGGGCGCTGTGATAATTAGAAGTATTTGAATTCTTGTATTAACTAGGAATTCACGAAACAGTACATTTTAAGCCAAATAGAACTAGGTAAGCACAAACGAATGTACCTAATTTAGAATTCGAAGTCGCTCAGGAATCAGGTACAAAACAATCATTAGTTCATACAGACATTACAGGTACTTCGTGCTTTATGTGATATAATGATGGATATTTGCGCCAAATCTTTATTCGCATTTTGATTGCATCACTTTTGTAGGGATTTGAACTACAGTCAGTTCCACGTAATCTTTCACATCCACGCCGTCAGATCGTTCCTAAATGAGTCCTGTACGTTGTTGTTGTTTATTTCACAGGATTAATTATTATCAAAAAAGATAAGTTGTTTTAGTCTTCCAAGATCTCATAACACAATTAAATACTGCTGACTTCGAGTTTTTCGTTGAAGAGTTGTCTTCATCACTAATTGGAACCCGTAGTCTCATCTCATTTTGGAAAAGTAGTAGTAACTACGATCCAATCTGATAATACCCTATATGTGCACCGAGATCATGAGTTTCCTTGCTGATCTGGCGACTAAGAGTAGCGTACTGTATACTAGTAAACAATATTACTAATTTCGTTATTTCGCCCGAGATTGTTGGAGTATTCGTGTGTATTTATTGACAAATGTCCATTTTTAGATCTGTCTTAAACGTGTAAATCAAGCAATTTTAAATTTACTGAAAGTGCATTTGCCCAATAAAACTTACTGGTTCTAAACCAACTATATAAAATATCAAAACCATAACTTTCTGTTGATTTTTTAATTTTTTGAAGCATAGAAATAATCGATATGTGAGTAGTAACGTATTTGAACTAATAACAGTACCTTTGTAACTCGTGTATTCAGCAGGGACTGGAGCGAACTGGAAGTTCTAAACCACAAACACACAAGGTTAACTGAGCACGTCACAACACAGGGAGAACACGGAATGGAACCACCAGAGATTTATTTAAAAATTAAAATTCGCGGG